TTTCCCACGAATCTTGTTTGCCCATCTCTGACGCCCTGGTCAGTTCGTCACAGGTGGTCAGCAGCCCGGAATTGGCCTTTTGTGGGTTTACAGCCCTTCTGCAATTAAGGTTGCTAAACCATACATCCCATTCTGTGGTCTTTCAATAGCATATTATAATGTAGAACAGGTGACAAGAACAGACATATTTTCCGGTACCTACCTTCCTGTTACACTGTGCATTTGTTATGTGGGCATTGCCTTTCCTAAACAAATGTAATTTCACCTTTTGCGAATCATGTTCTGAGTCAGAGGTAATCGTTTAATTCAGAATTATTGTCTGGATATTTTGTTGATATAGTTACTCAGTTATGTGTGGACAAGAGACAGATCAACATGGTCAAATATGTGGATCAAAGAAAGGAAGGGGATTATAGTTGAGAATCCCTAATGCAAAAACCCCAATGCTCCCAAACCTGAAACACCACACCCTGATATAACACCTTAGTGGGAAGTTCTGTACTTCACCTCATACAATGGTTGCAGTGCAGACACAGGTACACTGAGAATACAATAACAAAAACCTCTGTTTATGTATATAAAAGTAGGTAGACCATAAAAATTTACCTTTAGTCTTCATGTACCATCACTGTTATACCCATATTTCTTTGCACTTATCTGAAATTATTTACATTATTGCCCCCAAGCATTTGGATAAAGATAGCCTGTTTCTGTAAAAGGTAAGTCAGGTACTGTTCACCATGTTGCTCAGATGGTCCTGTTGATAGATAAGGTTGCTGGGAAATTTCCTCAAACTGCATGCTTTGATATTGTTGCATATGAGTTATTCTTGCATGACTCAAAGTTGAGAACTGTTACTTGTAGAAGATTTGTGTCTGTGGCTTTCCTCTCCTGAGGTTTCCCAGGTAAAGTAGACTTCCTTTTGAGAGTGGCCGTATTGTTGCTATGTGGTTATTTTCTGCAAGCTTGTCTCAGAAAGAGTAGGGCTGGGGCCAGATTTAACTTCTGCTGCTTTCTTCACAAAAGCAACAAATAACAATTTGAATAATGAATGAATGAAAAATTGCATTTGTTACTACTTTAAAAAGCTGCATATTTCCTTCAGTTTCTGACTCTGTGCTTGTGCCTTCAACACTTTGACAACAATTTTCTGTTCCTCAGTAAGGAAATCCCACTCAATCCTGTCACAGGCATGCTTGGCACATGTGGAGCCACCATAGGCCCTGCTTCTTGTCCTAGACAATATCATAAGGACTTTCGGTCTCACAGCACGAACCCCTCGAAGTCTGCCTGGGCACACACCACCTGAGGATTTAGGTGCTTTCCCAGCTTTCTTGGTATAAAGGCAAACAATCCTGTTGCCAGGGGTTCTCGACAGCCTAGTTTTTATTAGAGGCTGCATTGCAGGAAAGCCTATGATGATATGTCAAATGGTAGCCCATTCCGAGCGCTTCTAAGCACTGTTCCTGGAAAAGCAAAAAAATAGCTTTTAAATCTAAATAAAAATGCAGCTTAGGGGAAGTTGGTAATAAATGTGAAAGTATTGATTCACTCTGTACATAAGCACAGATTTTGATGAGTGACTGTTTTCATATCGATTTGTAGATTACAGACTCCATGTATCACTCGCTTTCATATCATGTATTGCATGCCCCAAGTATCATTTGCTTAGATATAGCCCAACGTCACAACACTGGTGACTGAATATGTTCCCTGTGAATTTATGTGTGGTATCACCTCATCATTAGCAAAGTTCCTATGAAATAATTTATCTTTATTAGTTTGTATGAATTTGTACAGGGTTCTCTGTATGTGTACCACATGTGTGAAAATACTGAAGGGTAGACAAGTGTGTCAGATCCCTTAGAACTGGAGCTTCAGGTAACTGTGTGCTGGTGTGGATGCTGGGGACTAAACATGGGTTCCAAGAGCAGTGAACTGCCCAGTTATCTCTCCAGCCTCAGTGAAATGATCATTCCCATTGTTCTAGTTCTGTTACAGATGTTTCACAGAGTCTTGGAAGACACAGATTTTTGTTGTTGTTGTCAATTGCATCTGTGAAAAGGCATATTTTTAATGTATTTAATAAGTTTGTTTTATCTAAAGTAAATAATTCTTATGGTAATTGAAGCCCCTGGACAATGTACATTTTCACTAACTTTTTGTTAAGAACGATCGGATAATAATTGAGAAAAGAGTGCCTGTGGGATGACTCAGTGTGAAAGCATTTTTCACAAAAGCCTGGCAACCTGAGTTCAGTTGCTGGAACCCACATTAGAAGTAGGGAATGAACTCCCCAAAGTGGTTTTCTGACCTCCATGTATGCTATAGCATGTGCGTATTGGCACTTACCGTGCCCACCCCAATACAACAAAAGAAAGTAATGGAGAAAAGAGTTTTCTATTATTTTGAAGTGCATAGAAATGAAATATTGAAGTTTTATTAAATAATTAAAAGATTACATTTATGATTATAACATAGTAAAGAGGGATGAGAATACTGTCACGCTCACAACACATTTCTGTATAATGAGGGTGATATGATGTGCTGCTCTGCTTCTCCCTGAGGATCATTGGCTGCATTGGTCCATGAAAGTGGAGGGAACAGAAGTGGGGAACAGAGTTAGGAAAGCTGTGGGTACGGCTGATACAGCCCTCCAGTAGACAGACTGCAGTGAATCAGCTCAACTTTATTCTACAGTATAAGGGATATACAGGATTAGGGAGCCTGGGGACAAACCCTAATTTGCATTAAGTGTCACAGTCCTATTAGAAGGCTCCTAACACAAATCTTAGTTATCATATGTGCATCAAGGGAGCCGTGTAGCAGGAATCTGTGCCAAGGGTCAAGCTAAAGATAAACCAGGCATCTGGCTTAGAAACAGCTTTCAGATAAGGTAAGTCCTCAGGGCCCAGGGACATTCTCTAGATAAGGGCAGGTAGAGAACAGGAAATTTCTCTGGAGAGGGAGGGAGTTTCCATGTGGCCAAGCTTTTGGGAAAAGTTGTCAGGACGTGAGAGACTGCAACCTTAACCAGCCAGCAGTGCCTTCCAACAGTGATGAGACCGCGTTTCAGTCAATTTGTCCAACATTATGTCATTATCGAGCATATGTCTCACATAAACACAGTTTTTATACACATGGTTTTTGTAATAGTTTGAAAGGCTTCTGAAAGGTGTACAGCTTGATGTGTTTATTTATGTTTGAAATATTGATGGGCTCAAAGCAAAGCTACCCACTTGGAAATCCATTCTATTTATGTACTCCATAATTAATGGAGTATCTAAGCATGCAGACAACTTCAGCTATTCAAAGGATGAAGGTAGAAGCAGAAAAGAGTGACAGCTGCCAGGCCTCACAGAGCTTTCCTAGGACTATGGGAAATCTGAACAGCAGGTACTTTATCTTTCTGCCATTTATTCCTGCCAGCCAGAAACAAGACTTATGTACAATGGAGTCAAGTTTAAAGAATCTTTTGTTTTTAATAGATTGTATATATACTCAAAGACAGAGTTCACCTTAACGAACCAACATGAGTAGCCTATGTGCTCCACACTTGCCTAGGGGCTGTCTCACCGTTTGCATTAAGTACTTACTATAAAAGATTTTCTGAAAGATTTTCCACACATAAATCTTCTGGATACTTGTGAAGAGATCTAGAACTGAGTTACTCTTTCAGTTGAGTACTGATTCAAAAAAGAAATGCTAGAGGAAAGGCCAAGAAATACCTTGATAAGTATATGTCAATGATGATCATATTTTGGCAGCAATTATATTACTGATTTAGCAACACTGAGCAGTTCAATTCTAGGGCCCATGCGCTTCTGACCAGATTGACTGAACCAGCCATGAGTTATCCCCTATGTAGCAGACCTCAAGTCAAATCAGAAAGTGGCTAGTTACTTCCATAACATGCATGTCGTTATTGAACCAGGAATCACATCTTGCCTGACCGGTATTGTAGCATCTTGGCTATACCGCATGGTAAGAACATTGGTTGCCTTTTCCCCCTAGTGGCATGCACTGTACCTTTTGGCAGCCAGCGGGGAGGAAATTTCCAGGTCAGTTCCTGTTTGATTTCTTTATGCCGAATATCCTGTATGCTGTATGGACCATAAGCTAGCCTTGGGGTAGAGAAAGCTCTGCTCGTCTGGTTTGCTTCATTAGCTGGTGACATTATTGTTACCTTTCTTTGTGCTATGAAATACCTATAACATTACTACTTACTTCTAGAGTTTTAACAAAAAGAGATTATCTCTGAGAAATCCTTTGTGCATCAAAAAGGATTGTAGTAATCACCTTTCCATCCCTTCCTGTATCTTCTTCATTACTGGTATCCAGGTGCACCAACCTGGTCATAAGGGTCCTGGGTTTCTGAATGACTCACTGTTGGGAGCCTCAAGATTAGCAACAATCTGAGCTTTCAATCAAGTCTTTTCCTTAGCTCATAGACTTCTTCCCTCATCTGTAACTCTCTATATGTCTTATGTAACAGGGTTTCTTTGTCGGGTCTGATTATCCATAAGCTTCCTGTGTCAGACAACATCCATGAGAATATGCTCCAATTGGTTTTTCATGAGTGCAGATCTTAGTGCCTGGCTTGCCAGTGTCTGGTCTGTGTTTCTGTTAAGCTGCCTAGATTACCCATTGAGCCATATGTTATAAACATGGTTGTTTTTAAATGTAAAATGTTAAGATTTAAAAATGTACCAGAATTTAAAAGCAGACTGGTCAGGTCTTAAATAACTATGTTGTGTTTCCCAACCCAGCATTCTTTTTAGTAGACTAAGTATTTGGGGGTAATCTTGAATTTTTTTGTTAATATTAAGATTTTGATAAAAGCTTGTGGATAATTTCTTTTTCTGTTTTCTTAAATCCTGATTTTGGCATACTATTATTGTAGGATAAGCAAATTCTTTGTCATGAAAAGCTCTACTCTGCTTTACTGGGTCCTGGTCAAGATTGAATTCTATTGACTTGTTTTCTTTATCTTTTCCCAGGCTGCTAAGTTGGCTATCGCAGTGTAAGCCTCAGGGTCCCAATGGGGGACTCAGGATCAAGACGATGTACCCTGGTCTCCCGGTTGCCAATATTCAGGAAAAGTATTAGTAGAAGACATGACTCTCTCCCTTCTTCACCCTCTTCGAGTAACACCGCTGGTGTCCACAGCTCCTCCCCTTCTAGCACAAACTCCAGCTCAGGGAGCATGGGGAAACGCAGGAGCATATTCCGGGCTCCCTCCATCAGCTTCCACCACAAGAAGGGGAGTGAACCTAAGCCAGAACCTACCGACCAGAACCTTAGTATTTCCAATGGTGCTCAACCCAGTCACAGCAATATGCAGAAACTAAGTTTGGAGGAACAAGTCAAAACCAGGGGAGGACATTCTGTGGGTTTTAGTAGTTCTCGAAGTAAGAAGATAACAAGATCTCTGACAGAAGATTTTGAAAGGGAAAAGGAGCCTTCAACCAATAAGAACGTCTTTATAAATTGTCTAAGTTCTGGCAGAAGCGAAGGGGATGATTCTGGATTCACAGAAGAACAAACTCGACGTTCTCTTAAACAGTCAACAAAGAAGCTTCTCCCCAAATCCTTTTCATCTCATTCCAGATTTTCGAAGTCAGTTCCACAGAGCCAATCCAAGTCATTAGTACAGCAGCCTGAGTTCTCTCTGGCGATAGCACAGTACCAGGAGCGAGAGCCTGCCTTAGGAAGACCTTCCCCTTCTTGCTCCGCGGATGTAACCGAGCATGCAGGAAGTTCCTTACAATCCCCTCTGCTTTCCACAGACCTGACCACAGCTCAAACCCCTTCCGAATTCTTGGCCTTGACTGAAGACTCTTTGTCTGAGGCAGATGCCTTTCCTAAAAGTGGAAGCACGGCATCCCACTGCGACAACTTTGGTCACAATGATGCTACCTCTCAGCCCACCCCTGGTCTCACCGCTGTCACAAAGACAGCAATGGAATTTGTGGGGACTGTGCCCTGTATGATGATGTCTCCTGGGAGGTACAGGCTAGATGGCCGGTATGGCAACGAATTGCATTCTTTACCAGAGACCTCTGCTGCAAACCAGGAAGATGTGTTGCTGCAAAGCACTGGGGCCCTTGTTAGGAATGTGAGTGACCCAGAGACCCACCTGCCAGCTGGTCATCAAGGAGAAGAGAAACCCACTGCTGAACCAATGCCAAGGACCAGCTCGCCCAGGATACTGGGCTCCTATGACCAGCACAAGTTGCTGGCTGACCGCATTAAAGGAGTCCACCCAGTTTCAGACTCAAGAGTAATCCCTTCATCTGGGGATCATCATGTTTTTAACAAAACATCCTATGGATATGAAGGAAGTGCTGCCAAAGGTATGCAGATTTTCCATGTTCAAAAATGATGTAAATTAGTTTTCATTATTATTTGATTAATTATCTTTACTCCGCATCTTGGGTGGAGGCACATTTCCTTTGCATTTATAATTACTGTTAAATGTTGGCTTAGATTGCTTTTTAAACTTGTCTCAGTTATGATGGAGATGTAAGTCTGTGATACTCATTTTTCTTAGCTGTATTATTTATGTTATTCTGACCTGAGAAGAAGGTGGAAGGAAGGCAACTCTGCTTGGAATGTGACTGTCATGGCACTGTTACTTGCTACTTGATGAAATGGAAGCATTTCAGTCAAAGTTTTCATAAAGGAAATTGTGCAATTTCAATTTGGTTTCCTGTGTTAACATAGCTCTATTAACTAGGATCCATATTTTGATATAAGTAAATGAAAGTATACTCCTTGGAGTTAGAAAGCCCGCCAAGTTCAAAACCTGCATCAACATTAACTATATAGCTTTAAATTTTAAATGATTTTACCTTGATTGTCACATGAGTGTGTATAGGAACATGTGTGTGTGTGTGTGTGTGTGTGTGTGTGTGTGTGAGTGAATTATTTCACTTTGGTTTCCACAAAATACTCAAAGGAACTGTTGAATGTCCCCCACTCACTTGCCTATTTTACATGCTCTCTTTTATTATTTTCTCTCTGTTATTAACACAGCTGCTAGCAGTAACTGTCTCAATGGTGCTTAGGTATCCAGAGATAATGTGTGGTCTTTATAAGTGTTAATTAAAAATGGTCTTACTTGTTCTTATAATTGTTAACTCTTTCTTAAGCAAATGCACTGTGGGGCAGGGAAGATGTACACCCAAGAGTCCCAGAAGATGATTGATGGGCACACGCTCTGCCTCACTCCTTGTGCTTCAGATTTTGCAGACTGGGAGACAGGCCACTGTGTAGCAAAGCCCGGAGGAGATTAGCTTGATGTAAAGTTCAGAGTCTTACGCTATTTTATATGAATGATATAAAATGTCAAATAGAGTTAAAAATAAATCAAATGACATTATCATCAAAAACAATTAAGACAACTGTTGAACTAGTCCCTTTAGAACACAACAGTTTTGTAGTCTAAATAGGTGAGTTTGTTGTGAGCATATCTGACATAGGACGACATGTTTTTGTGTGATAATTTTTGAGACAAAGTGTCAGGCCGACCGTAACTCCCCAGGAAACACATCCTGGCCTTGAACTAGTAGCAATCCTCTTGCCTCAGATGCCTGAGTGATGGAATGGCAAGTGTGACACAAAGACAGATTAGTGTCTATGTGACTGCTGCGAGTCTGCAAAAGGGACGAAGCGAACTGTGACTGTAAGCTTAGAAATCTTCCTGAGGTAGAGGACCTTTGAATCATTCTAAGGTTTTTCATAATCTTAAAATGCTATGTTACCTAAAAACCCCATGTAAGTATTGATGTTCATTTTTCTGTATTTGTCTTGGAAAAGTTCTTGCCAGTAGCCTCAGTCCGTATCATGAAGGAAGATACATAGAGCGGCGGCTGCGGTCCTCGTCTGAAGGGACAGCAGGGAGCAGCAGAATGGTCTTAAAGCCGAAGGATGGGCACGCTGAAGCCAGCAGCTTAAGAAAGCCCAGAGCCGGGTCCTCGTCCTCCAAAATGAACAGTCTGGTGAGTCTGTACATCTGTCTGCAGAAAACGAGTAATGCTCTGAGCGTGAGGCTGCTCACTCCTCTGGCAGAGTGAACACAGAGTGGATGGAAAATTGGGATCCGTAATCGATGTTGCCAATCAGAGAGGCTAAATTTTCACTTGAGAGTCTCATGGGGTAGGACGGACAACAGTGTGCCAGGCAGCAACCCTCCCTTGTTTGGGGGCAAACTGTCTCATTTCTGTTTTAAAGCGAGACCCCATGATAGAAATTCTGACCATGGGGACACCTCAGAGGTTTCGTTTTACATGCATCCCCACTCTCTGTGGACACTCCACTTGGTACACTTATGCTGTTGTCACCTTATGGTCTCCAGTGGCTTCACTCTTGTTCTTGTCTCTTAGGCTGAACAAGGTGCAGGGGCTGTGGGGGACACGGCTACTTTCCCACTCGAAACTTGAACATATTCTTAGTGTAGGCACTGAGCTTGCTTCTAGGCTGAGGGCTTGTGTGGCGGTGTGGATGTGGCATTTTTGGTGAGCTTAGTCCCTAGGGTAACACAAGGTCATAGGGAAATCTTTGTGTGTGGTGATAGAAGTTGTAGTCACTGCTCAGTGACGAGCCTTTCTTTAATCCTGGGGCTATCAGAAACCACAGAGCGATAGACGGTGGCAGGACTCCTGGTACCCCTGGACCAAAACTCACCATGTATATTTGCATTAGACCGTGTACATGTAGGAAACTAAGTGCGTGGACATGGGAAGTTAACACTTGTCGTCATTTTCTCCCTTGTGTATTAAAAATACAGTGTCCTTCGCAGCTGAACTCTAAACAAGCGAACATGCTTAAGATGCTTTTCAACAAATTCAGTGTTCCAGATTGAGGCTAATTTTTATGAAACATTTCCCTCCCGGAAAATTGTATTATTTCTTAAAGGAGCAGAGGTTATGTAAATAATTTTTCAATCCAGTCGACTCCAGAGTTGGCCTTTGAAATATTTTATGCCTACAATTTTATTCTGCCCATGCTTACTTTAAGTAAATTTCCCCGTCATGTCAGCAAGTCATTGCTTCTGACCCATGTATTAGATATAGAAGTTGAAATATAAGGGCTGGGGTCTGTGTTGAAGTCGAACCCTGTGTTGCCACCAGAGGTCACAAGGAAGCCTGGGTTTGGGGCCACAACCTGTGGCCTTGTTTGTGTCCCAGAGCCACGAGTGGCCAGTGCTGTCAACTGTAACCAGGATATCATCTGAACCTGAGCTGCTGCTGAGGGCCCTATCTGGTCCAGGTGCAGCTGGGGTCTGTGTTGGTGTCTGTGGCCTGTGTAACCTCAGAGGGCCACAGGAACCATGCATGATGAATCAGAGGGCCATGCTGAGTCGGCCATACCCGCTGCTGGCCCTGGGAAAGCTGGCTCTGCCTCTCACTGGACACTGCAGTAAGAGACCTGGAGATGGCCCCACCCCTCACCACATGTGAAGGAGAAATTCCAGATGGCCTGGGCAAAGGGGAGCTGGCTTACCCCACACCCCCTCACCTGTGGCTGCTGGTTCCCGGTAGCCTGGTCTGACCAACTCAGCTACCTCCTACTTCCCAGGCCCTCAGCCAGTTTGGGTTGGCCCTCCCTAACATCTACCCCATTGAGGACCTGCTGGAGCTTGTGAAGGGACTGGTCCTATGGAATCATACCCCCAGGAGCTCCATGAATAAAGAGGCGTTGGAGAGGGTGGAAAAAAGGAGAAGCGAAGAGGCTTTTTTGTTTTGTTTTGTTCTTGTTTTAGTTTATTTTCATTATTTTTTTTTTAGTTTTCTTTTGGGGTTTACCAAAGAGGTGAGGGGAGGACATGATGGTACTGGGAAGTGAATGAAATTAAGGTGAATAGTGTGAAATTCCCCAGCATCAATAAAGAGATTATGTGAAAGTGAAAAAAAAAAAAAAGAAAATTGTATTGCTTCAACACGTGTCTCCGCAATATTAGAAAACAGCCACTAGATGGCAGGATAGCACCGTTTTCTGTTGGAACACTTGAGAGCAGGAATCTGGTAAAGCTACTAAGATTTGGCTGGATTTGCAGATAATATTGGTTGAAATAAATACCAGCACTTTTGAAGTTTTAGAGGTGACTTACCAGAAATGACTTTATGATTTCACTGTATCCTTCAGTCATTGTATTATTTGACGATTAATTTAAAATATGCTTGATACATCTTCAATATACAACAAAAGGAAGAAATGCTGTGATAGTTTAGGTGATTCTAGCATTGACTAATATGATGTGTGGTAGAGAAATGCCTTTCTAATAATGCTAATGGATGCAAGGCACAGCTCCCGAGAAGGCTTCTCTGTAGTCAAAGGGGTGGGATCCGGTGTACACATGTGCAATTTGGCATTTAAACCATTACACAAATGTGCAACTCGCTACACTGAGCCTTTCGGTGAGCCCTGTGGTCAAGGGGCAAGCTCAGTCAGGAAGACCACAGAATTATAAGTTACTTTGCCAGAACCATTCACGTGAAATTGTGGGCTTTTGGGAGACTTCCAGGGTCGCACTCACACTTCAGGGTCACAACAACACGACACCCAAGACTCACGCGAGAGAGCAAGCTTTCTCTGGTTCTTCCTTCGTAAGCTGATAGCTTAGAATATGTGTTCGCACTCATGTGCTGGTGGGAGATGGGGGCTCATTTGCAGGTTTCTGTGCACACCTCCTTTAGAAGCCTTTTGTTTTGCTTAGCTGTGGGAAGGAAACGAGCCATTTTCATTTAGAAGCTGCCTCTATTAGTTATAGTTCTTGTAGGTGACAACTCACTTCTTGTTAAATGATGGGAAGGTCAGTCTGAGGAAGAGACATGCAGTGTCTGAACTGTCCTGGCTCTGTCAGGCACTTCAAAGAAGCATGTGCCCAGATGCCAGTTCATTCCCTCAGGGACTCTTCAGAAAGCATACAACCACATTATTAACCGGTATACATTCAAACTTATTAAGAGATATATGTATTTCTGGTTCTCCTTGTCATTAAAGGGATATTAAGAGCCATAGTAAAGACAAAGAAAATAGCCTTGTCTCTGATTCTATTGCATCAGTTCAGTGTTTGTTGTTAACATCAGAACACCAAAGACTCCATAAATTACAAAGGAGAGAGAGAAACTGGTCCATGGTTGATGTCTTCAACCATGACTGGTCCATGGCCTTCTTGCTGGCAGAGTCCTAAGAGCATCATATGGGAAGAGACAGGGATTGTGTGAATGAACTTTCCAAACTGCATCTGAGACAGACCCAGTGTCAAGAAAAACTTTGGTCTGTTAATCCACTCATAACAGCAGAAACTTTATCATCTCACATTCCCACTCAGCCCCACCCGTCATCATATACAGTGGCCATTTAACTTTAAAGTGAGTGCTCTGGGGGGACAAACTGTGTGTACACAATGGTCTGGAGTGCTGCAGGACAACTTCAGAAGTGTCCTGTCATTGAAATGGAGATAATTAGAAGACCAAGGCTGCTTGCTTTTTACTCTTGGTGCTAGGCTTTGGTGTTTAAAAGTGATTTTTATTTATGGGTAGGAGCGTTTTTTTTGCCTGCATGTATGCATGTGTATCACATGTGTGCCTGGTGCCCATAGAAGCCAAAAGAGGGTATCAGATCCCCTGAAGTTATAGGTGGTTTGTGAGCTATCATGTGGATGCTGGGAGCCAACCCAGGTCCTCTGCAAGAATAGCTAGTGTGCTTAACCTCTGAGCCTTCTCTCCAGTCCTGTGATTTTATTTTTAATTAGTTCAGTTTGTTTCTTCCTTTCTCCAAGATTGAAACTGCTATATGTCTTGTGTCGTTGTGCCTTTGGCTGACACAGCTTCATAACTTGTGAGATTGAGGGTGAATTGATTTCAAATCCATTGCAAGTTTCTGACTGTATGAGTGGACGCATTTGGTAAAGCAGAATTTAAGCAGATTAAAATAACATCTGAGTCTTAAAAGATAGTCACTACAATCAGAAGGTTTAACATTTTCTTTTAACAATGAAAAAGTTATTTTTCTTATCACTTTTTTATTGCTTGACAACACATTAACTTTAACATGAAAGGTGAATTATGACTTAGGCCTATCATTATATTACTACTGAACAACAAAATCTAGCATGTAGCATCCTCAAATTTAGAAAAAGCAAAATATTTAATATATATATGTACATAATTTTAAAATTGGAGAAATTATTTGTGATTAACTCATGAGCCACCACACTTGCCATGTCAGGTCAGAAGCTGTGATTGACAGATGAATCATGCATGAACAGTTTCAATCTGCCAGTGTAATGGTGTGTTTGGATTGCTGTCACTTTGCTATTTTTACGTGAAACCAGAGACCCTTTCACTCTGGTATCAGACTGCTTTGGCCTCTTCTATTATGGCTTCTGACATCAATCCTGAAACAACACAAGTGCCCGGTTTTTAGCCTTAAAAATAAAAAGATGTTTTATTGTATGTATTCTCAACTAACTTCAAAATTATACTTTGTTTTTAATTTTACTTTTTTATTTTTTAATTTTATTTTACATTCCAACCACAGTTCTCCCCACACCTCTTCCCACCCCCTTTTCCTCCCCCTCAGCCCACCCCCAGTGACTCCTCCTCACAAGTAAGGGCTCCTATGAGGAGTCAACATCGCCTGGCATGATAGGTTGGGGCAGGGTCAGGCCCCTCTCCCATGCATTGAGGCTGAGCGTGGCACCCCACCATAGGGAGTGGGCTCCAACAAGCTAGCTCAGTTGTTCTTGCTCTCTCTTTGTCAGTTTCTCTGTCTATCTGTGTCTGTCTGTCTTTCCTCTCTGTCTCTGTCTTTCTTGTGTGTGTGTGTGTGTGTGTGTGTGTGCCCGTGTGTGTATGTCTGTTTGCCCCCTCTCCCTCCCTTCCTCTCTCCCTCCTTCTCTCCCCCTCCCTCCCTTCCTCTTGCTCTCCCTCCCTCCCTCCCCCTTCCTTCCTTCCTTCCTTCCTTCCTTCCTTCCTTCCTTCCTTCCTTCCTT